AGGTCAGAYACTTTATCAGCAAAACTCAGAACTTTGACTTTTTTCTTGTTCCAGAAGCCTCTGATCTCATTCACCATTTTATATGTAATGATCAGCATTTCTTGATTCTTGAAAGTCTCTCTTTGGACTTGCTTTGCCTTTGAGCTGGATCTGGATCTGGTCTCAGGTCCCTCTGAGATCAGAAAGTGAACTTTGTTCAGACTCACCAGTTTCTTCCAGTGGTGTGAATCTGTTTTGAAGAAACACTGCTCTGTCTTCATTTCTCTGGCTGTTGTTGTTTTGATTCCAACTTGTTGCTGCATTGATCTCCTTGCTGATGGAGAAAAAGCATTTCTCTGTAATTCTGGCCATTTGTTGTCATCAAAATGTTGAACCCTTCCTGAGAGATTTTTTTTAGTCAGGCACAAACAGCTTTACCCTCAGAAGCAGCTTCCATCTCCTCGTCCAGCTGATCTCTCCTCTCAGCCTTCTCACCCATTTGAAGGCATGCTGAGTTCTCCAAAGCATTCATCTCTTCCAGACGATGAATCTTGAGCTCCAACACCGTCACCTTTTGGAAAAGCTGGCAGAAATCCTCTTCTGTACTCAATCTCAGCAGTTGATGTTTCAAAATCTTCACAGGTTCTTCAACAGCTAAAAATAAAATCCATTGTTCTCTGCTTATTCAAGACCATCCATCATGTCGGGGTCACCAAATTGTAGAAAAAAAACTGCGTTGTTCAAAATGGCATGTCCGAATAAACAGGAATCCAACTGGATTTCTTCTTAAAAACTTTACACTCAATCTTCTGACTCCAGTCAGGTTCACAGTACAGAACACAGGCCTCACCTCAGCATTTGACTTTGGGCTGAATAAAAACAAAACACAGGAGCTCTGCTCTGAGCAGAGACTCTGCAACACACTAACAAGTTCGCTTTACCATAATAATGAATTGACCTCATAACGACTTTTCCTGGTTACACCCCTGGAGGTGTTACCTTTTTACGTCAGACGTCAGAAAGTCACTCATTTTTGTTTACGTTAAAGAAAGAACACATGATAACACAACTCTGTCTGCTTTAACCTTAAAGGCTGATCAGAAAGTATAAAATACTGCGTCTAATAKTCAATTAATCAGTTACAAATTTCCTTCAGATGGATGGATGGATGGTATAAGCTGATATTTGAATGACTCAGGTTGATATCARGGACAAACAGCACAAGATCATAACATCCCCGTGGTATCAACAGACTGAATGGAGTGTTTTCTGTAAAGACAGGAAGAAAACAAAGCAGCGTGTCAGAGGAGAGGAGGAGATAGAGGAACGTACAATAGGATTACCCGCTCAACATAAAATCAATTTCCCATCCTCAGTCCTGGCACCTGTTCATGCAGCTTTCAGGTTGGAGGTGTGAGACACTCTGTATACATCCAGGCACTACAACCTAATATGAAGAGAAGAATCATCACAAATAGAGCTGCTGCTGTGTGAATTCAACATGATGACATCCTTCGAAACCCTGGTATCCTTTTGTCTTTTTTTAATGCTGATTCAGTCACACAAAGAATAAATTGCAGAAGTTGTGGAAGCACAGAAGCTGCCTGTGTGATCTTGTTAGGCCCTCTCTGTCGAGGCCGCGGCGTTCATGTCCCTGCAATGATTGGAACAGTTAAAACTGCACCACTGCTGCGCCGCCCTGATTGCTCCATTAGGGGACWTGAAGTGACAACTACAGTTTGTTACGTGGAGGCTGTGCATTCTGAAGGGATGTTAGATGGACACACACGGCTGCACGCCCGCAATTAGGAGGTCGTATTTCTAACTGGCATGTTTTACTGGAGATCTGTCGCCACGGCGCCAACACACACACACACACACACACACACACTCATGTGAAAGAAGACAGGCCTGTTTGTGGCTCCGAGTGTGTAAATCACTGTGTCTGATATCTTCATTTGAGACAAGGGGGCTGATCACTGCTCGTCCTGCTTGTTCCACATTAAGTCATTATCACACGCGCTCACTCCATTAATTCTCTTGCTTTTATTATAAGCAGCAAGAGTGGAGGCACACACACACACACACACACACACAGAGTGGACTGATGACAAGTGCTGCCTCTACCTCATCTGACAGCTAATGGCTTCATTAGGAGCAGCGTGTTATTTGGCTGACTTTGGGGAGATGCTTGTTAATGAGGATAAATAGATTCACACCTGAGCAGGGCGCCGCCCGGTCACAGCAGCAGCAGCAGCAGCAGCAGCAGCAGCAGCAGCAGCAGCAGCAGCAGCAGCAGCAGCAGCTAATGTGGGAACTCTGAAGCAAACATGACTGCAGCCAACCAGCTTTTGTTGAGTGGAAGTTGACGAAGGGACCGAGCCGTGTCCTTCCTTCCTYCCTCCCTCCCAGCCTAAACACACGGTGGTGTGTTTTGTTTTTCCTTGCCAGGCAGACTTATTAGTGAGTGTCTGATTAGCACCAGGAGGCCAAAACAAAGAGCAGTATGTCAAAGCAATTAGCCCTAGTGTTTACCTCTCAGCTCCTGGGCTGACTGCAAATGCATCTAATCCAGGGGAGGAAGAGGAGCGCGTGGCGCGTCAGCGCAGACCCGTTGCAGGGAGGAAAAGGGACGACAGATGCTCTACAGGCAACAGTGTGTGTGTTATAGTGTGTTTGTGTGTGAGCAGCCCTTCAATCCATCTGCCTTCCTGCCCGCCTAAATCTGTGTCCTCTGCTGTCTGGTCCTGACAGCTCTGACAAACACACTGCTGGTTAGAAGGCTTCATGTTCTCGTGGGAGCGTGTGGGGGGTTGTGGGGGGTCGGATGTGGGGGTCACTGGACAGACAAAATGGAAGCAGGCGAGACTGATCATTTGCATAGAGAACAGGGCCTCTGGAACACTGCATTTAACAGGAACTCATTATGCACTGCGCGGTAATGCCACCTAGYGGTAGCTGCAAGCCTCTGCACTTTGTCTGCACTTAAAATCAGGAGTAAACAAAGTGACATAAAGCCTGGTGGGCCTGGAGTTAAATATCCCAAATGTCTAATACAAAAATTAATTCTCAACATCGATACATTACCCAAACCACTTGTACAAAATGTGTACTCAGTTAAATGAAATATGTTGATTCGTCTTAGTAACTATTGTATGGCAGAAAAACACATCTTCACCCAGAGACAAGGTTAAATGCAGTCCCGTCTCACTTATACAGTATGGAAAGGCTTTTTCAATTCAATTTAATTCAAAAATACKTTATTGATCCCAGAGGGAAACTGGGTGTTGTAACTCATTTAACTAGTAGAAGGTGATGGCTGTGGGCAGGAAAGATCTGTAGTGGTCTGTATTACAATGAAATTGAAGAAGTCTTTTTAAAATTATTTAAACCACACTGCCAGTGTATTTTCACATGGATGTCAAAAATACTTGCTTTCCTCCTAATCCGTTAACATTGTTGCCATTCATGCACTTTAATCACTAGCAATTATCATTTGAACTTGAGCACATTTGCCAAACTCAAGGCCCGTGGGCCAAATGTGGCCCAGATATCATTTTATGTGGCCTTTGAGAGCTTCAAAGAGACTTTTAGGTAGGATTCTGGAAGCAAGTGTCAACACTTTAAGCCTGGCGCATCTGAGGTTTCTGAAATTTGCAGAGGGTGGTAAAAAACAATTTATGAATGGAAATATATGGTACGGTGCCCCGAGGCAGATGAAAGCAGGTGTCAGAAAGCAGAACATTGTGTCCTTACAATGCCACATAACTAAACGCCTGGTTTCAAAGATGCATTACCAAAGCTGTCTGCTGAAATAATTTTGTTTTGGTTCAACAAAGTATTTRTAGAAAATGTATTTGTGTAAACCTTTTTTTATTTTCCAGCTAATTCAATTTGGATGAGTGAACTACTTTGGGTAATTGTCGGAATTTATATCGTTTTAGTCAACACCACAACATAAAAACTCCAGAGCCAAAATATTGTCTCGATGTCTTCAGGGCCATCAAAAGAAAGTAGAAGGTTCTCCATCATATCATACATGACAGAGTGCATCACATACACTTTGAGCTCATAACATAACATCCCCACATGATGCTGCCTCCTCCGTGCTTCAGAATGGGGGGACTTATGTGCGTCTGAGGGGATTAAAAGTATTGACTTTGTATTACATGCTGTTTTTTTTAACATAAAAATCCCTTATAATGTAAATGGACCAAAACAGGTTTTGGCATTTGTATTAACCTCGTGAAAGGTGAGTGTTCTCTTTATCTGTTAGCAAAATATCACATCAACCACAGGATGAATTTTAGATGGCTATATTTATTACATAGTTTTTCTCAATGCTTCTCTTCTGTTATCTAGTTTCCCTTTGAATCTCTTTCTTCATCTTTCTCCTTTTCTTTTTCCTTTTTCATCTCCACGTCCATTACATCTAAACCCAAAAAGAATTTCTATTAAAGTTTAAATATATATCAAACGGAGCATCATGGTAAAATGCCGCGTTTGTGAAAGTAAAATGCTGGGCCTAATCTTGACACTCTGAGTTTCACACTGCTGGGCAGTGGACGGTGTGGAAAAAAAAAAGTAATTATTGGACGCACATCTACAACTGATTAACTTTTGGAGTCTCAGATCAAGTTAGTTTCCACAGCCAACTGACCTAAGCAAACACAACTCTTACTCAATCAGGTTTACAAATATTGAACTAAAAATTGGTGTGGTTGTATCTGACATTCAACACCAACAAACCTGAGCTCTAATTATGCGAGATCTCAAGATCTGGCACGATCTCGTTATTTACAAGATTTGACCAACAAAGCTTAAATTTAATTTTTCAACATAGGATGATTTTTTTAAATTTATTTTAAAAATCATGGCATAAAAGGTAAGGTGATTTGAAGGCAGGTGATTTGCAATCCTTGGGCATGTATTTAGATCTTTCACGTAAATAGATTAAAAAAAATTCCTAACGTCACTCACAAAATGTCAATGCATTATATGATACAGTGAATCACAGCAGCTGCATGTCAATAATGATCTTTAATGTCAATATATACAGAACTTGAAAGAAAAAAATAGAATTTTTAAAATCAAATGAAATAAATACAATATCATACAATTTCCACAATGTCTTTTTGAAGAGAGATTGATGGAAATATTTTCTTTATTTCAGCCTCTCTGGTTCGACGGGGTGCGTCCCGTCCCCACCAGAGAAATCCATACACCTCCACCACATGCTCTTCATCTTTAATCAACATCACACACATGTATTTATATTTATAGACATATAATCTTTCTCTTTTTTCTCAAAACAATATTTTTCTGCTATCACGACCACACTGTTGTGCCTTCATATTCTTGGCATTTTCAGAGATCCATCAGCAGCTTATGTTACCTTCTGATACATTTTCAGCATCACAAAGTAACATGAGTCAAATGCAGTTTTGTTTGTTTAAGGGAAATGAAATACAGATTCTGTCCAAACATGCATTTATGTTCCCAAAAGTGCTGGTATAATGATTTTGATCCTGAGGTACTTTATACTTCAGCCATAAGCAGAATTTCTATATTTTTATTTCTTTATTTTGTTGTTTTGAGTCCCAGAATGTAAACAGTCTTACAGTGTACCTCAGTCAATATCATCTGTTCTACCACCCTCAACAGAAATCTTTACTTCATTGTGAAGAAAAGAAATTCAAGACACAAAAAGCAAACACAGGGAGGAGAGAGAGAACTGAGGAGGAGGATGGTAGAGTGGTGATGAAGAGCAGTGGGTGAGGGTGTGGGGGGCACAGTTTAACCAAGCAGCTTTGAATCAGCCAATCACAGTGAAGGAGAACATCAGCTGGTGCGTTTCTTCCCCCAACAAGGAGGAAGAGCGAATGAAAGGCGAGAAGGGCGAGTGCATATGAGAGCTGTGGAAATAAATACGAGTCCGTCTCTCAGCAGTAACAGATATGTGAGTTTCTCCTCTACGTCTTCGACCGACTTCCCTGCTGTCTGTGTGAGCGTGTTTCTGAGTGCTGATGCTGGATGTGTTCAAATAAATATTTGTAAGAAAAGTGGGGGGGGGGGCGTTATGTTTGAACTGGCCAACACTTGGGCGTGAGTGTGTGAGCTTGCTCCTCTGTGTTTGAGTCGGCGAGCGTGAGGTGAARGTTGAAGGGCGAGAGACGTGTGTCTACATGTCTGTTGAGGTGAGTTTTTTCATGCTGCGTCTCTGGGCTAAACTGGACGCTGCTACAGGTTCCAACACCGGCTGACTCGTCTTCTGACTCAGAGCTGAATAGGTTGCAGCCATCGCTCCCTGGAAGAAAAAAGGGACACCACGAGTTAACCACAGACTGATAGTAATGCATCCTTTTTGGCAGGGATTCACAAACATTTTGGTTGTGAACACACGATAGTGAMAAAGGCAACCCCAGCTGCTGGTTTAAAGACAGATTTTGCTAAAATCTCTTTTAAACAGAGACATAATGACAACACTTTTCATTTTAACATGTCATTTGATATGCAGTGGAGGGCATAACTTTAGTCATCACTAACTGCTAATCTGCTAAACAAAATTAACTTTGCAAATGGCAAACAGGTAAAAAAATTAGTGGAAGCTAACTCAAGGCCATTTATTAGCGAGGTCCCAATACTCGCACTGCATCCTACAGCCCTCTATGACATGTACTTAGTCCAAGTGCAGATAAGGGTGTGAGTGGGCAGGTTACAAGTATTCAAAAATGGGAAAACGGGGACAGTACAGGTTAGGTTATCGACTTGCTCCTGTGCGTCGTAACTGCAACATCCAAAATGGTGAGACCAATAGCTGTTTTGGCATTTGTACTGCTAATAGTACAACAACAACAAGCAATCGTTTTTAGGAGAAAGCGCATGAACCAAAAGGAGGCTTATATGCCTTCTTCTTCTTTGGTTTTATTGGCAGTTGGCAGACTAATTTCAGTGCATTACTGCCACCACTACTGGAAGGTGCTCGGTGGGCACTGCCATAATTGTGGGCAATGCGCTTCATGCGCTCGAACCCTTCAGCAGGAAYGTGTTTGAGGAACACAGGAGTGTGAGTATTGGGACCGGGCTATTTAAACAAAGACATATGTGATATTAGGGCCAGGCAATTAATCAGATTTTGATCTTGATTACGATTTGGCTTTTCAACGATCATGAAAACATTGATTGAATTTCACAGTTGACGTTTACACTGTTTTGTGTTGTGAGTCCAGCGCCACTGCCAGCATCCTCCCATAGCCAAAGTTTCACTTAGTCTAATTGTTTCAAAAATATTTGAAATCCTGAGGGAAACATTGTTTGTTTGTGTTCAATAAATTTATGTTATCAAAGTGAATGAATAATTTTTTAAAATAATCTAGATCTCAATTTCAATCAAAAAAAACTGTGATTATAATTTTTGCAATAATCAAGCAGCCCTGTGTGATATCCACAGAAACATCAGAATCGACAGAAACAAATGTATGATTGACTTAAAGTTAGCAGAACTGGGACAACATTTAGAAGAAGATAACTGGTTTTCTAATTTAGCGAAAACCCTAATCTGCTAAACAAAAAGTTAGCTTTGGTATTAGCAGAACTGTGCCCACTACTGTTAATATGAAATTATCCAAGGACCCCTTACTTGGCTTTTATGACCCACACTGGGGTCCCGATTCACCACTGGTTTATGCGTACATATTTAAACTCAAAGCAGCAAGACTAATCCTATGTTTACTAATAAAAGTTAGGAGGTTGTTTCTTTCGGTGTTTACTGGAATAAACTAGATTTTAGGTGATTTACTTCCAGCTTACAAAAATGTATTAAAGTCAGAACCACAAACTAATAATGCTCGTCTTGGCATGTTTACAACACGTAAACAAAACAATTAAATACAATTAAATAGGAAAGGTGAGGACCCAAACTGTGGTCTGTCCTGACAGAGCTACAGTGGGTCAGGGTGAGGACTCTACATTTTCCATTGGTGTATTGTTAGGATGTGTTTGACACAATTATGTAAAGCCTGCACACAAAATAAACTGTAATTTTCAAAAACTGGCAGAACAAATTGTAAATGGACAACTTGTTCATATCTTGGTTGCAAACACTCAAAATTCAGCAAGTGTGTAGCTGAAAATGTGCCTATTTTCTTGCAATTTAGAGTTTCTAACTAGTCTGGAACAGTTACAGCTCAGTAAGAACATGGCATTAATCACATCCTCAGGAAGTAATCAATGGATGTACATCCACAACTGATTCATATTTGGAGTAAACAAAATTCAAAATGGTCAACAGCTTATCAACCTTAGTAAATATGAAATTTTACACATACTGAGCTAAATATTTCTGTGGTTTTAGTTGAGAGTCATGGATCATGGTAGCTCAGTGGTCAGCTATATAGAGACACTTTTGTTTGTTTCACTAAAAGCTAAAAACATTGACACAGTTCAGTTCAAAGATTACAAATATTAATATTTTTATTACCGAATCAGCTCAAAGTTGTGTAGATGAACATATTCCTATTTTTTGCTTATGAAAAATTTGAAGAGGCAGAGAAAACTTAATGTTTGGATTAGAGGTAGATCAATTTATCAGATGACTGATTTTAATTGACCAATAAAAATACAAAGATGAAGCAGCTGCTACAGCCAGCTCACTGTAGCAAACAATCTAAACAAGAACATAAATTTCATTTGTTCAACCATCCACCTTATCCATCTCTACACATTTATGTGTCAAAAGTTATTTTAATTATTACAAATACGTTTATTTCAGATAATCAATTATATTTTATTTTACAGATTATTATTATTAACACACATTTTAGTTACAAATAAATAAAGTTGGTGTGCTACATCAGCTGCTCTGATTTCTAAAGCTACACACTGGTAATAAAAAACTCAAATAGTTTGACCTAAAATTTCGATAAACAGACTAAAGTCGTCTTAGACTCTGTGCTGGACAAAATGCCTTAACAAGGCAGAAAACTGGATTCTAGTGTCAATAAGAAAAATGCTTTTTAAAATAAGCAAAGTCTTCATGTTAGTTGTACATAAAACTGCACACAGACTGAAATAAAAACTATTAAAATGACAAGCACAAGTACCTGATATTTTAAAAAGTATAAAGGTTGTATTATGCTACAGATGTATGCCAGTTCTCAAAACAAAGCAAAAAAAGGAAATTAAACTAACAAGCAAACTTGTATTAAGAAAATCTTGAAAAAAAATAAAATAAAATAAAATATAAAAAACAGAATTTATCATCACAGCCTGTGAGGACAAAGACTCCAAATCCTTTATTTAACAGAAAGTAGAATAAAAAAAAACTCACTTTGACCAGATGTGGTGCATCGTGTCGTGTTAGCTGGAAGTGTGGTAGCGTGTCTCTGCACGTGATCCAGGAATGCTTCAGAACCTGCTCTGCTGTGTATCGCTGGTGAGGATCTACATGGAGCATGTGAGACAGCAGGTCCTGGAAGATAAACATTTACAGCCAAACAAATAAATCAAAGTAACACAGTCTCTTTGAATTTGTATTGTTATAAATGTTCATTTGTGTTGCTATATTAGTATTTCTGCAGAAAAGACAAGTAGSTTAAGAACGGAGGTTGACTTTTGAATCATCTCTGTTTTACTGTGAATGTAGAAATCTAAAACTTAAATCACTAAGCACTAAAGACAAGTATGAAAGACTAATTTATAAAATCCAAAAACTATTAAAAGACTGAACAACTGGACTTCTATTCTGCAGCTGAAGACATTTCACTTCCCATTTGAAAAGTTTTAACACAGCAAAACTGGAGCAGGTGCAGTCCCAGCTTTAAACTGTAATAAAGGCACCATTTATGCAAGTTATGCAGACTAATCCCACTCCCCTCCCATCACCTCACACAGAAATATGACAGAGAGAGTAGAAAATACTACAGAAGAGCCAGAATGAGCACCTTTGAGGAGTCTGATACAGTATCCCAGTTCCCGCCTGTCAAAGAGAACTTTCCTGATCCGATCCGTAGAAGAATCTCTTCTGGCGTGTCGTTTGGTCCGTTAGCAAACGGTGTGTACCTGATAAATAAAAAAAACACAATCATACACTATACATCCAAGTTTAAAGTCCCAGCACAAAGCAAAGTTAGTGACATAAAAACTCMACTCTTACTTCAAGGTTAAATTGACAGTATTAGTATGGTTTATATATTATGGTTTATACCCTGCCAACATGGTGTACAGTAGAACTCCAAGGCTCCATATATCACAGGCTGCATCATAACCTTGTCGCATTAGTACCTTTAAAAAAAAGACAAATTAACAACACATTACAAAAACAAATTATGATTAGGGTTTTTGTATAATAAATATTTTTGCCCATTATGTCTTTGTATCCATAAATCTAAACTCTGTTTTAGATCCAACATCTAGGATGTTTTCTCTCAGTTTGTCTCACCTCTGGTGCCACAAAGTTGGCGGTGTAACAGGGGGTCAACAGCAGACCGTTTCCACCCCGAAGCTGCTTGGCGAAGCCGAAGTCACAGATCCTGATGGAGTCAGGATTCCCAGAGTCATCCATGTAGAGGATGTTGCTGGGTTTCAGGTCTCGATGTACCACCTGTGGAGGTTAAAACCTACGTTCACATTGCAGGTCTTAATGTTTGAATCTGATTTTGTTTTTGTGTGGATKTTCTTATATTTTAAATGTGACCTCCATCAGACTCCAGTATGAACTCTCCATGACACTGATGTGACCCGCACGCACAGAAGATGACATGATGTCACATTCAGTTTACAGAAGTAAATATTGACACTACATGTTAGTACGGGTGAATCGATTCTGAAATTGGGCAATCAGAGCAGATTAAATATCTGCTGTTTGTTTGCTTTAGTGTTTACATTTGAATTGGTCTCTGGTTGGCTACACTAACTAACTAACTAACTAAATAAATAAATAAATAAATAAAATCAGATTTGTCAGATACAGACTGTCATTAAAACCTGAAATGGGTAGCATTTGCCTGCAGTGTGAATGTAGCTCAGCTTGTGTTTTTGTGTGATGAGGTGTTTCCTTACGCCTTGGCAGTGGAGGTAGTCAACAGTCTTGGTGATGGTGTACAGCACAGCACTGGCCTCYCTCTCAGAGAAGAATTTCTGCCTGAGAATTCGATCCAGCAGCTCCCCTCCCTTCATCAGCTCTGTCACCAGGTACACATACCTGTCCTCATCGTACACCTACAACATGCAGAGCCAGTCACAACACACGACAGTATTTATCAACCCTGGCAGAGAAAATATGGGATCACGACTCACTGAAGCCATTTATTGAGCCGTTTTACTTTCAGAAAATAAAATCATGGATATGACACAAAAATTAATCACAGTTTGTAAAGCAAATCTCTAAAAATATTACTTAAAAAACAGTAATTTGTTATCAATCAAGTGAATGACTTTGGTTGGATTTCTTAAACTAATACCTAAAGATCAATACATAAATACAAGCCTAAAGAATAAAAAATACTAAAGACTCGGATAATTCAGTAGAGTGTGTGGTGAGAGATTTTCCCTTTCCCCTGAAGATCAAGTCTGAAGCAAGTAAAACAGAAGATTGTCAAAGAAAGAAAACTAAAGTCGACCACGTTAATAAATATAAAATAAATAGTAACATGCAGTTTAAATTTATAGTAATATGGGATTTACATTTTAATGTTGTAAGCTGACTAAATGTTTTGATGTATAAACTGTATAAGTGTAAAGACAACAGATAAATGTGAAAGAATAGAGACATATTGGCAGCTTTGATCCTAAATGGCTGACTTCCTGTGGGGACTGGACCACCAAGAGACTTTTTTTTTGTTACCAAATTTCATGATTCCAGGTCCAAGCATGGCTTGGGGCTAATGCTGCGTTCACACCGAACGTGACTTCAGCGTCAGGTTTACATGCAAAGTTTATGGTGGACACACGTCAAGCAACGTCGGGAAGTGCTGCGGCTCGTCTAGCGCGATTAGAGCGGTGCGATTTGAACGATTTGAGCGTTCGACGCGCTTGACGCGTAATTCGGAGTTGGAAAATCTGAACTTCTGCAGCTCGATGCAGCACGTCAACCAACCAGAGAGACTCCAATGTGTGACGTAGTGACAGATTTTCGATGGGACAGTTTCTTGAATGATGTCCACTAACCTGAAACAGATGGACAGGAGCTCTTTTGCTGAAATCGAGTGTCTGTAGTCGGTGTCCTGGCAGAAGAGCACCGATACAGGTCAGAGGCTCATCAAACTGGACTCGGGACAAAAATAGTTCTGAAAGCGAGCCTCGCAGCTCGCAGCTCCTGGGTGATGAAACTCACCAAACTCAGAACGTCTCTGAATTATCAGGTGAATTAACTATGAATTAATTATCCGATGAGCGCGACGTGCTCTTGGTCTCAGTAAATAAAGCAAAGCCACATCCTATATTTCATCTGCCATTAAACAGAGACCGACTGGGGGGGGGGGGCTATCGACATGCTAAACGCACGTCAAGTGCTTCAAGTGCAATTTTGACTCGTGTCTGTTTGACCTCAAAGTGAACACTCTGAACACACATTTTGACACTGAAATCACATTTGGTGTGAACACARCATAATTTTTGTAATAATTGTAGGGGATGCTGCCAAGTAATTAGGCCACACCTCCCCAAAATTGGACTGCATTCCAGTAGTGGGGTGGTTTAGGATCGAACATAGTGAGTTGGGCGCAGATTGGCTGAAATATGTGGAATTTAGAGCCAAACATATGTGAACGGTGTGATGTCTGAATTCACCCCACCAMCATGATCACGCCTTTCTCTATAAAGTGTTCATGCTTCAAAGCAGGGGAGATCAAGTTTTTACAATTTGTTGGTGATTAGGTCAAGAGGGTCAGAGATTGAGCTCTCCAAGCCAAAAAAAGTCACTTCCTGTTGTCAGGGGGCAGGGTTTTGATGATGTCATATGACCAGATGGTATGGTCGGACATGCAACATGGATGACTCATACAAAGTTTGGTGTATTTTAGCCTTTCTATAAGAAAGTTACAGCTTTCTGAAGTTGTAACAGACGGACAGAGAGCATTTCTACTAAATGAGGTGTTGGAAGAGTATTGGTCCAATAATAAAAAGGTGCTTCAATGCTTTTGTACTGGCAACTTAAAAAAATGTGAATGAGTAAGTTGCATTTAACAGATCTGTAAAAACTGAAATCTGGCTTAAAGAAAACCTTGTTTTGCATCAGTGAAGTATGTAAATCAAATACATCAAGTTGCCAAAAAAAACAAAAAACAAATATGAGGAGGCAAAACAAAGTACTTGAAATACTACAAGAATCTCACTTTTTTTAAAATGTGATTTACAAAAGCCAGATTTGTCATTGTGGCGACATTTTTCAAACAGAACAAAACAGCTAAATTAACATTTACCAAGTGAGACCATATCTTTGCCAGGGTTAGCTATTTTGTAGACTTAAAATACCTTGAAAAGCTGACATAAAAATCTTACTGACGTCTTTCAGGGTGATGATGTTGGGGTGCTGCCCGTATCGCATCAAGATTTCAATCTCTTCAGAGGGGTCCCTCTTACTTTTATCTATGATCTGAGTGAAACAAAACAGACAGAAATTATCACTCTAAAAACAGAGAATATTTCTCTGCAAATTAAATCTGTACTGCCCTCTGCTGGTGTTGTAGCCTGCATATTCACTCTCAACATGATTACTCTGGATACTGAGGCTAACTAAGATGTTCTGAAAGTACAAATAAATTAAAGGATCACCACAGCTACCTTCACAGCATATTCCATGGCAGAAACTCGGTTTACACAGCGTTTACAGATGGAGTAAGATCCAACCCCGATGTCTTCCTGCAGCTCGTACAGATCTGAGAACTTGGCCGAACCGCCATGAACCTGGAAACAACCAGAGTCAAAACATATCAACATGAATAAACATGTCCAAAGCAAAGGGTTCTGTCACTGTGTGTCTGTCACAAGACAAATAAAACTTATCATTTTCACCTGATGTGACTAATAGAATTAAACAGCTCCAAACAACTAAAGTGTGTTTTATATACAAACACTGTAGCCATTTTTATGTCCAAAATGTCCTATTTATTCAGCGGACCAATCAATCTTCCAAATTTTACGATAAAAACATTTTACATCAAAAACATCAAATCCATCTGGAATGGTTTCCAATAAATAATACAAAAGCCCTGTCACACTAACATTTTAGACAACTTAGGCCAACTTATGAAAATTTTAAAGACATCTATGTTGAAGATGGAAATGAAAAAAAATCAACTGCATGCCTCTTTTAGATGTGTATACTGTAATGCTAACAAATTGATCAAATATACTTTATTAGTAATTTAAACATAAAAACTATTTTATACATTAGCATACGTTGTCTAAAACGTTAAGAGTGTGACGGGGCCTTTAGTACTCGTGGCACAGTATGTGAGTAATATCCTTGGCTGTTACTGAATGAAGGTAAAGTAGCACATTTTCCACAGCTGCCAAGATGTATCCTTTCTGACACTGTGAATATATTAAATCATACAACAGTCCTGTTGCCAAAATGCAAGGACAAAAATGACGCACAGGAGGAGCACAGATCCATCACCCCCAAAAGCAACCTTCTCTTTAAACAAGTTTCTGAACCCTCCCAGAATAAGTCAATTATCTTGCATAATTGATCCTGCGGATTATGTGTGATTTAGTCAATAAGGTGTCTGCAATTAGCTGTGACCTATAAGAGGATGGATAAACATGTCTACTCCATAAACAACTTGAACTGCTGAAGAAAGTCACAGAAAGGCTGCAGAACGTGTGCCTTTAGTGGTCTAAGATGATGAGTGACCCTCCACTAGCGGCAGCCACAACTCTTTCCTACAACAGAGCTYATTTTTCCTGTCAGTTTTCAAAACGTCATTTCTCTGAGCTGGTTGCATTAATCAGCACACATGCAATCTGCCTCAAACTCTTCACTTGTCATTGATACTAGAAGATATAGCTCTCTCAAAACTAAATTTATTTCTGTTTTTCACATTACAATCAGCACTTTGATATCACTCAAGTTCTCTTTTTCTTTGTAGCAGGGTTTGCCATTGCTGATTGGACGACAGAATGAAGTGACCCACTCACATTTCTCATGCATAGTAATACAGGGCAGGGTGATTGCCATTTGTGTGTCAGCTTAATTGGATGTTCTTGTGAAAAAATATTCAACAAAATCAGATGCGAGCAAGGCTTTGTAATTCTGAATAGTTCTGTTAGCAGATATTTTTCCATTTTTATGAGTACACTCTCAGAGTAAAAACAACACAGTTTGGTCCCAGCATTACCTCTGCTTTTATCTAAAAGAAATAGTTCAATATTGATCAAATGTCATGAGTCCTAGTCAKGTGTGAACAGATATTCCTTAAAGGTGAGGTTTACTCAACTAAAAAGATAATTTATTTAACTAATACGTTAAAGGGATAGTTCAAACATTCTGAAGTGGGGTTTAACAAAATCAACCCTCAGTTGTCACAAAGACAGAAACTCTCTTTAGCAGTGGTTCAGCTCAGACTGTATCGATGATCTAACAAGAGCACTGCAGGGTCGGAGCAAATGCTTAAACCTGCTTACATTTAAGCAATAATAGTTTTTATTTAGGTGTTTTCACCATGTAATAAATAAATTAGATATTTATGTTGTTCGGATGTTGAAGGAAAAAAGTAGTCTCTCCCCGACAATTAAATAAGGAGGGCTGCCAGTCACCGCCCCCCAACACACACACACACACACACACACACACACACACACACACACACAAACAAAAGTTTTGTTACTTCCGATTGTGGCAATAGGATAAATGGCGTTGACTTCAATTTACCAACGTGGAGCTCTGCTACAACCCCAACAAGATGTATCTATGCACCTATTGCTATGCATCTATACAACAAAGATCTAAAACTGAACTACGAAACATTAAACTCCATARGTTGCATTTGGTTATAAGTATATTTCATGGTTTACAAAGGCTAAATCTATAAAAATCATTACGTGTCAATAAAAGATGAAAGACAGATAATGTTTTTTATGCAATTCTCAGAAAACAACTGTTTTACTAGTGGCTTCAAATTCATTCGAGGTGGCCACCACATCCAAGCAAATTTAGCAAGCACAAAAATTATTAAACTAAGTTAATTTAAAAATACTGAGCTAAAATTTGAGGAATAGTAGTAGTAGTAGTAGTAGTAGTAGTAGTAGTAGTAGTAGTAGTAGTAGTAGTAGTAGTAGTAGTAGTAGTAG